CAGGCCAGCGTAATGCCTGGATCCTAACATTTCCATCTTTTCCTTATTATAAAGAGATGGGGAGAGTAAAACGGATAGCAGATGGGACAGGAATAGGGGCACTGGGTACTCAAGACTGCTTCCTGCTGATCTGTGGGTATTGAAATCTTGGGGGACCTGAGGAAACGGGGATGCTGGTTGTTTCACTGCTGTCCAGGCTCTGTGGAACTGCTGGTGTCTCTTGGACCTGGAGAGATGCTGGTAGAGCAGAGGATAAGGTTAAGCTTAGGGAAACAAATTTTCTTTAGGTCCTGGTGATTGAGGGGGAGGGTGCCATGACCATGAAAAGATGGGAAGGCTTGGGCGCTTAGGGCCTGGTAATTGAGGGAGGGGTGCATCTGACCTGCTCCAGCTGAATCCTCCAAGTCGGCTCCCTGGAACTTTTAAGAGTTCTTTGAGTTTGTGAAAACGTAAGTCTTAGACACATTATCTTTTTCACTGCCTACGATCTGTACTGAAATTTGTATTGTAGAAATGGCAGTAGACTCACGTCAGAAATGAAGGTGACAAACACAGATAATTTAAAATCTCCGTCTAGCGGTTATGACAGTGGTAGTACTCTGCCAGAGCTAGATGAATGGCTTATCAGAATTGTTTTGATTAATGTGAAGGCTTTGGACCCTTGGGGTCCTAATATAACAGCAACATAATGAAAGAGAGAAATTTGGAACATGGTTTATTCTTTCAAACATCTCAAATCACATGACTTTGTCATAACTTAAGTGATGTGGGACAATGGTCTGTTTTTTGTCAATAATATTTTAAATAAATGCTGATTGGCCAGTAGCCAGGAAGGAAGTATAGGCAGGACAACCAGACAGGAAGTAGAGGTGGGTCAATGAGAACAGGAGAATTCTGGGGAGAGGAAAGCTTGGTCCACAGTCATGACCTGGCCACAGAAGAAGCAAGATGTGACTGCCCCGCTGGAAAAGGTACCGAGCCATGTGGCTAACATAGACAAAAATAATAGGTTAATATAAGTTATAAGAGTTAATAAGAAGCCTAAGATAATGGGCCAATCAGTTTATAACTAATGTAGACCTCTGTGTGATTTCTTTGGGACTTAATGAATGCGGGAACCAGGCAGGACAGAAACTCAGACAACATTAAGCTTTTTATCCTCAGACCTTCATAATTTGCATTACACACCTTATGTCACTTGCTTGTACTCTGAAACATTATTGTTCTCAGACCTTCATAACTTGCATGTGCACACCTTCATAACTTGTATTTGTACACCTCAAAACACCTTCTTAGACCCCAAAGCATTTTTAGATCCTCACATCTCAAGCATTGTATTTTTACATAAGTGGCCCTTATAGCACCTGTTCCTTACCAATCATTGACATCCCCTTAACATTCAGGAGAAATCTGTGAGTTTATTTCTTCTCTGAGCCCGGTAATGAAGTAAATTGTGTCTAGACTTATACTAGGTCTAGGAAAGTGAGTCCTGTGACCTGAATTTTACACAGAGACCTGAGAAGGCAGTTGGCAAAGCTACCAGTCATCAAACTGCATCAGGGTTCTTGATAAGGATAAAAGTTCACCTGAGTTATTGATTTTAAAATGACAGAGACTAGCTTGATTGGCTACCTAGATAGCCAGCCACCCTGTGATTCTCCATGGTTCTTTTTTTTTTTATTATTATTTTTTTTTTTTTTTTAGTAAATTTTATTAAATTATAAAAGTTTCCATTTCCACCCCCCCTCCCAACACCCTCCCACTCCCACTCCCCCTACTCCCCCTCCTCCTCCCTCTTCGTCCCCCAGGGCGGTCAGGGTTTCCTGCCCTGTGGGAAGTTCCAGTTCCTTCCCCCTCCCTCCAGGTCCAGGAAGGTGAGTGTCCAAACAGACTGGATCCCCAAAATCCATTATATGTAGAGGAAACAGGTCCCAGTGTCATAGTCAATGGCTTTTCAGAAAGACTTCGGGTCAGCCACAGTCAGAGAATCCGGCCAAATTCGGAGAGTCTGGTTAGATCACGTCCTCTTCCATGGTTCTTGAGGGCAGGTCTTAGGGCAACATTGTCTCTCAACCGGTAGCACAGGGCCTGAGAGGCTTCAGAAGATCCTGTAGATAAGGAGTTTGTAGGAAGACCGGCCTACCTTGCCCTAGGCAATAAGGCAGTCAATTCCTCACAGTCTGAAAAGGTTTGCAGCAGTTAAGGTGAATGGCAGGTTAGGTCAGTGGCTAGCGCTGCTACTTCTGAAGCAAGTTATGGGTATCTAAGTTCTTTTGTGCCAATCCATCTTCTTTGCAGGAAGTAGGGGCTGCTGCCAGGAGCTAACCTGTCTCTCTGTTATGAAAAGCTTTTCTAACTAAACATTTAAATGCCATTTTCACCAATCTCTGAGCATTTGAGGGCCATCTATCGGGTATGTGAGTTATGAATACAGTATAGGATCTGCCTGGAGAACTGAGAGGCTGTGAAGGAATGTTTTACCCAGAGTCTTCCAACTTGGCTATAACCGGTTTTAATTTAACAGATTAGATTTATGCTCATGAACGACAAAGAAAAAAATTGCAATAGAAGCTTAATAGTAAAAACTGACAATAGGGAAGAATAACTTAAAGGAAATCTCTAGGTTAGCTTCGTGAATCTCAAATAGATCTTTATAACCTTAATTTTTATCACTATGTAGATCTTTATAACCTTAATTTTTATCACTGTGTAGAATATATTTGAAAGCAGAGTTGATCCACATAGACAGTATGTTGCTAAAATATTTGAGACTTGTTGCTTCCTTAGTCTAGAAGGAGATACAATGAACAGAGCTCACTAGGATTGTTTCATAGACCATTGTGGCTGTTTTAGACCCTTTTCCTAAACTGTAGCTGAATGTCGCTAAAGTTGCACACACACACACACACAGAGAGAAAGAGAGAGAGAGAGAGAGAGAGAGAGAGAGAGGGGGGGGGTACAGAGTTAAAGCTAGCTTACATTCACACATAAAGTTAAATCAAAAGTCACACGAATACTGAGTGAGTAGAAGCTGACTTTTTCATCTCTGACTCTCACTTTGTAACAAAGAAACGGGGCATTTAAAGAAATAGAGAGTAGACAGACATTCGCAGGTCTTTGAAGCTGAGAAAAAAGTGGATAGTCAAAGCTGCCAGTAAACAAGAAAGCAAATTCCTTGCAGGTCAGAGAGAACAGATTCACTGTGGATGGGGTCCCCACGTGAAATGAATGCCTCAGGGGGACCTGTCAAGGCGTACCATCCCCCAAACTCGCCATACACAATAGAGTCAATATAACAGGAAATTAGAGATGGAGACATAAGTAAAAGAGGAGACAAAGTGTAAAGGCGGTTGCAACAGGTCATATAACTGCTTTGGCTGTGGGGGTGGAGAAGGGTGGGGGTAGGCTGTTGTAGGCGCTGCTTGGTTAGGGGCAGAGCCACATAAGTCTGTGGCTCCTCCCTGTCCCATTGCCACCTGGGGCTGAGTGGTAGAGGGGTGGCTGGTCACATGGCTACCCTTAGTAAAGATGGCAGTGAAGACATCTGACTTGCCCGTAGCCAAATGGCACTTGCCCACGTGTTGTAACTTCTCCCATTTAACCATCAGCTGGCAGCAAGGTCCCAAGAAAGTTTGGGATAGGACTCTGTCGCTTATTTTCCATCGGTAAGTCAGAAAGATAAGTGACTGGCTCAGGTCGTTCTCTGATTCATTCGCAGAATGAACGAGGGCCAGGGCAATAAGCCGGAAGGACGCAGAGTCTGAAAAGGCAGAAAGCGGAGAAAAGGGGAGGCTGTAGCCTAAAGGACCTGTAGGTTGGAGAAACCAAGGCACCACTCAGTGGTGCTAGGGCACTAGGCCCTAAGGCCTCCCTCGTGGGAAACGCAGGAGGTGATTTTTGGCAAAAGGCAACCAGGGGAAGGGGATCTTACCAATCATAGTTTGTGTTGTGTGGAGGTTCTGATGGCAATTGGAAAGCGGGTTCTCATCCAGGTCCAGGATCCCTGTGTGTCTCAGGAACGTGGAGAAAGCTTGGCAGAGTCAGGCACCAGTGATAGTACCACTGTAGGTGAGAAGGGACCACAAGATACACAACGAAACCGACTTTACGGATTTTATTAATAAAGAGAACGGAAGGAAAAGCGGGGGGTGCCCAGGTCTCTCTGAAAGCAACGTGGTGAGGGAAGCTGCAGCGGGAGGCTGTTTAGTGCATGCGCATAGTGGTTTCCACAGCCAGGTCACACATAGATTCTGTGACTTCACTGCACGTAGATACCGTAGGGCACAGTTTGCCTGAATGCTGATGGCCCGGAAATGCTAATTTATGGGGTGACTAAGCATTCTGCCTGAATACTGGTGGCCGTGGGATCTTGGATGTGAAGGATCCAAGAATTTTCTAACTGTTAAATACAGACCTGTGCCATTCTTTAAATGTCCATAAAGAATAAGTTTGTTGAAAAAAAAAAAAAAGTACATACTAACCAGCGGAATGAGACAGGAGGGAAGAAAAGAAATGTGTGCGCTGTGACCGTGCAAAGAATGTCCTCAGAGATGGACATTTGCCGCCATTTCTGCGCTTTTTATGGGGAGAGGAGAAAACAAAAGGAGGAGGAAGGTTAAGATAAGAGACATGGCAACCAATATTTTCATTTCTAACTGAAAAGCGGGATCTGCTAGGTTGATTCTCCTTAGACCTGCTTGGCCACAACAGGAAGGACATCAGCTGAGCAGAATGAGACTTTCTGTTGTTCGTTTTTGTTGTTGTTTTGTTTATTTTTCTCTGTTTTCCTTTGATTCGAATATTTTACATTTGTTGAAAAAACAAAAAAAACAGACAGAAGTACCCTCTGAAAGCAGAAAACTGAAAATCCAAATATGGTAAGCTTCTGATTAGCCAGAACGGCGGGAGCGTGGGCACTAGAGCAGTTCAGTGAAAGCGAAAGGCTACTCGAGGAGAAATAATTCACTGTAAATCGCAGGCACTCCAGAGCTTAAGCGTTTAAGGACAAAGACAGATGAGTCTCGAACGGGATGCCCTCTATTTTCAAGGATGAAGTTGAAGACCTTGCTAACTGTCCGGAAACAAGCAATATTGCAACATCATCTGCTCTTGGTAATATATTCTGCTCAGATTAGTATAAACTTCTGTTGATGTTTCAAATGTATCTAAACATTTGTTTCCTTGAAGTAAAGCAGGCAGGAAACCCAGAGTAAAGGGCGGGGCCGGAGCTTGCTCCTTATAGGAATCTACGCCAAGCAATCTGCAAACACTCCATTTCTTGGAAAATGTCCACTAGCAGATTTCTCCATGATCTGTTTGCGCCAAGGCTGCTAATGCTGACCTTTACATCCCTTAGCAGTGGGAGATTTGTAATTAGGGAACCTCGTTTGGAAAAGACATTCCTGTTGGGTGACCATCAGCAGTTGCTATTCTGAAGAGTCTGTGAGGAGTGAGCATCTTTGTGAAGCTGTGTGCGCTTCACAGCCTGAAGACACAGAAACCACAAAGGGAAGAGCACGATTTGGTTCTTATTTCTAATTTAGAGGACATGCTGTCTCCAAGATTTCACTGTTTGTTATTTTATACAGATACTAACCAAGTAATCAAGAAAACCTACCAAATTCTACAAATATAAATGAAAAGCACAAAAAAGATAAATTCATCCACTGAAATTTTTTAAAGATTAGTTTATAATGTGTGTGTGTGTGTGTGTGTGTGTGTCTGGTGTGTGTTTGTGTTTGTGTGGTGTGTGTGTATGTGTGTGTGATGCAGTGTGTATGTCGTATGTGTGTGGTATGATGTAGTGTGTGTGGAGAGCATTATGGGGTGTGTGTGTGGTATGGTGTGTGTGTTTATGTGATGGGGATGTGTGTGGTATGGTGTGTTTGTGTGATGGGGATGTGTGTGGTATGGTGTGTTTGTGAGATGTGTGTATGTGACGCAGTGTATATGTGGTATGTGTGTGGTTTGATGTGTTATGTATAGTGCGTGGTGTGTATGACATGTGTGTGGTATGTGTGTGTATGTGGTGTGTGTGTGGTGTGATGTGTGTAGAGAGCATGCATGTGGTATGGGTGTGGTGTGGTGTGGTGTGTGTTTGTATGATGGGAATGTGTATGGTATGGTGTGTGTTTGTGTGGTGTATGTGGTGTGTGTGTATATGTGTGTTGCAGTGTGTGTGTTTAGTGTGTGTGGTGTGTGCGCTGTGTGTATATATATATATATATATATATATATATAGTGTGTGTGTGTATGTGGTGTGTGTGGTATGTGTGTGTATGTATGAGTTGTGCAGTGTGTGTAGTGTGTGTGTAGTATGTGGTGTGTGTATATGTTATTTGTATGTGCTATATATATGTGTGTGTGTGGTGTGTGTGTACTGTGATATGGTGTGTAGTATGTGTGTTGTGTGGGGGATGTGTATGTGTGTTTGGTGTGTGGTGTGGTGTGGTATGTGTGTGGTATGATGTGGTGTGTATGGTGTGTATTTGTTGGGATGAATGTGTGTGTGTGGTATATATATGTGGTGTGCATGTGTGTGTGGTGTGATATGTGTGGTGTGTGTATGTGGTGTGTGTGTGTGTATGTGTGTGTGTGTGTGCGCACCTGTATGTGGGTGTCCTCAGAGGCCAAGGGAGGGCATCAGATCCTGCAGAACTAGTTACAGGTGCTTGTAAACTACTTCTGAAAGAATAATATGTGCTCTTAACCTCTGAGCTTTCTCTGCAGTCCCCTCATTCACTAAATTTTTGTTTTGTTTTGTTTTGCCTACTCCTCTATGCAGATCTACGGTGAACGGTGGAAGATTGTGGGTCGTTCTGTAGGCCGGCAGGAGGGCACTGACAGACGGTAATGGAACTCCTTGCAGTGCTGTAGAGCGCCCGACCGCTCTGCCGGAGGACCCGGGCTCGATTCACTAAAATTTTTAAATGCTTAAAAATTAATATGAATGGACAATCCCACATGGTCCAAAGCAATTATCATTGCTTTTGTTTTAACTTATTGTTATTTTCATATATAAGCATCTTGTGTTTTGATCAGCTGCACCTCCACTCCCTCCTCCCCAGGTCTTCCTATACCCCCCCAATCCACACCGTAAATTTGGCTGGGTTGATCTTCTGCAGGTCTTGTTCACACAGTCCCAGCTGCTGTGAGATCACTGTGCCATGGCCTTGCCATGCCCTGGACTACTATGAGGTGGCTATGCTCCACTGTCCCTGACTCTTAGAATCCTTCTGCCCTCTTCCATGATGATATTACTATTATTATTACGTGTGTAGACAAATCATTTTAATTTGCATATTTAGGCAAACAATGGTTCTTATATATTACTAAAAGCATAATTAAAAACTAACAACCGGCCATATATTAAAAATAATTACAAATGTCTCAAATAAATAGATTTTATATATACATACACACACACACACACACACACGCACATACACTAATGTAAAACTTACAGAAAAGAATAAAATCTCCTCAAACAGCAAACTGTATCCAAAACACAAATTCAAAATAAATTAAATTTTACTACAACTTTTTGTTTACTAAAGCTAAAACATAGTCAAATTATACAAGATATGATAAACAATGAGTAACCCGGATAGTAGCACTGAATTCTTATTTCCTATTCCAAGACGCCAGCAATTCTCGGAGAGCCACCTGATTCCAGGTCTCAACGTGAAAACTATAAAACATGAGGCTACATGACCCTGACACACTATTTATGAATATATTGCCAAATAACGCTAATTTCAGGGTCAACATTTTTCACAGGTCAAAGGCACCATTTTAACTTTGATAGAAAGAAAATTCCCAGTGTTCCAAGACAAGCCTGTTTCAGTGTACTGTTTTATAGTGAAGTTAAACTGAACTGCTCACCTTGAAAACTGAATGAGAGAATTCCTAAATAAATGGTGTCTGGACATGGGCACATGTATTTCTTTGTGTGTGCGTTTCCTCTATCCAGCTTTTATCTTACAATGAAAAAATTTTAGAAAATTGTCCATAGTGTGAACATAAATATGAAAAATGAAACACATTCACTTTGCATCTCCTTATTTGATGCTATGAAACTTCTATAAATTAGCAAAAGTTTCTATATATATATATTATATATATATAGTAATTCACTTAGTACCTCCAGAAAGTCAACCTTAAATGTAGCATGAATAATAAAAACCCAGAGACAAGTATTGGGGTTCAACCTGAGGATCAGCAAAGCAAAGCAGCCATCCACTGGCTCCCACCTCTATCTCAGACTGAAAATGGGCAAAATCTTGTCTCCATAAATCCTAAAGACTCCACTCTCCACTGACTTCCTGTCTCTTACCCCTTTCTACCCAGCCATATTACTTCTCTCTCATGGGATCCCAAATGCTGGGATCCCCTTTGTGTGAGCTCTGGTTTTCTTTTAGACAGATTCAATCTTGTGTAGGCCAGGGTGACCATCAGCTCACAGACGTCTGTCTGCCTGTCTCCTGTGACCTGCGATTCAAGGTGGGCGCCACTACTCCCTGGCCTATATGGCTGACTAGTATGGCTGCTTTGCTCTCTGATCTTCAGACAAGCTTTATTCATTAAAACACAAATAATATACCACTATACTGTACAAACATATGTTATTCACAGCTTCTATTTTATGGTCAAAAAGTAGAAATTTAAATGTTTGACAACAGTGACCTGGTTGAAAAAATTATGGAACCTATATATATGATGAATTGAGATAACCATATTATACTTATGATTAATAAGTATAATTAATAAATATAATCAATACTAAATGATTGCAGCAACTAGCCATGTCATATTAAATAGGACATAGTATATCAAACACTATAGATGAATATAGTATAAATACAGGGAATAGTCTAGGAAGAATTAAAACTTTTTATTAGAATTTATTTCTGAGAGGTTGGATGATAGGATTCTTAAATTCTCTTTTCCTATAGTTATAAAGCCATCACAGAATACCTATTAAATTAACAAAAAAAAGTTGAAAGTATCCTCCACTTTTTGATTCGAGAGCAAGAGCAGCAGAAAGACATAGAACAGAGAAAGCTAGGTGGATGCACAGTGGAGCCAAACCCAACTCAGGGTGACTAAATCTCCAAGGGAACATCGGGGTGCACTAGCCAGCTTGGCATTTGGGAGAATAATTGCATGCATAATTTAGAGAGTTTCTTTCAATATGCATCCTGCTTGCAATCTATTTAACTGTTACTTATTAATACTGACTTTCAGAGTCAGACCTGAGTCTTTTTTCCCAGGTGATTTTGTTAAAATCTTCCAGAGCTTCCCATGAGTGACATTTTGTTCTCTTTGCTCTAGCTCTTAGCAAATTGAGGCTCAAGCAAACACAGGAGTTTCTTACTGACCACAGTCAACAGCAGACCCGACCAGAACCTGAGTTTTCTGACTCACCTGAGTGTTTCAAAGATTCCCTTAAACAGAGAACCTGAAACTCAAACACAAAACAAGAAAACAAAACAAAAACCCAAAAGCACCAAGCCATAGCAATGTGTGTGCGCGTAAAAACTTTGAGAAATTGTTTTAAAATATAATTTCTGAAAAGACTAAGAAATCCCAAGTTTTTCAATTAAGCAACTCTAATTGTGAATGTTGTCTTTCCTCAGAGCATAAACCTGAGCAAAGCCTCTTACCTCTTTATCTCCAGGCCTTAAAACCAGGGAAAATAGTAGCCTGTAGCCCCCAAGTATCACCGAAGATTCATAGGGAAGCATGCTGACATATTGCCTATACTCAAAAATGTACATTTTAGCGCCACTGAAAATCCTGAGACATCATTGACCAGCAAAGATTACAGAAATTGCAAAACTAAACCTGGAAAGAAGACACAATAAGAAAGGAAAATGACAGCAAGCATGTACGTGATGACCCTCTGTTCAGGCTGTCCGGTTTGCTAAAATGAATTTCAATTTAAAAAAAGGAAAGAAAAGAAAACAGAGAAAGCAACAGAGATCCTTTAGTACTCATAGTGGTGAGCACTCCAAACTGTACTTTTAAAAGGGACAGAATTGACAGCTTTGTTAGCATGGCTGTTTGTAATGATGAAATGTTCTTATATTCAGGGCTCTTGTTGAAGAGAATAGAAAAACTATTCTAATTCTTTTAAATGGAAAACAGAATATTAAGAATAGTGTCAAAGACGACTGATAAAACCTGGGTGTGGGGGGTATTGCTACTCAGACTCTGATTAAGATGCTGTTACTCGCTGAGACATTGAAATTTAAATCCTGAGGGAAAAGATTGTAGTGCTGGACAGAAAGGATAAAAAGGGAAAAAAATGGGCATACTAACATTAACACGGAAGCCATGTTGTCCAAGCCGTACAAAGTCCTCACCACAAAAGTCAAAAAATAGAACCCAGTTCAGCTGACATTTGACACCCAGTGTTCAAAAAGGCCCTATTCTTCATTTTTGCAGGTAAATATTTCCCATTGTTTCTGCATGAGAAGCCTGTTCACTCTTTCATACTAATTACACCAATTTTGCACTTTTCTGGTGCGTAACTGTGTGTTAGCGTTATCAAAGTGGGACTAATATTTGAGAAACTAACGATGCCTGAACTCCACTGCTGCCTTGTCTCTGAAGCTAAGAGCATTTATGTTTGGATACACATCAGTCATTCAACATTTTGCTGCTAGCTTTTCTTTTGTTCTTAAAGGAACGCTAACCAGCAGTTCAACAAGGTATGGACTACGGATTCTGCCATATAGACATCAGTGTTAGTTTACTCCAGAGTCATCTGAGATAACCGACAGAAGTGACAGTTTTTAGGCCTCTTCACCAGAGATTCAGATTCAACATGGCCAGGGGCATGAACCACACATTGAGAAATCTTAGAATAAATGACCATGTTCCAAGCTTTCTAGTACTGTAAGTATCACTAGAGAGGCTATACACCATGCACGAGGAATATTTAATGAATACACTATTATCAGGCATGCTTGTTTTATAATATAGTTTCCAACTCTTTGTCGGTCTACGGAAATTATTTTCTATCTCATAATAGATGCACCCTCAGATCTAGGGAAACGGCCAGTTCAGAACCACTCTCCTGCAGAACTGAAAGAAACAGATGTGTGCTAATAGATGCCAGAACAGAGATGACTGGGTAATTTCCTTCTTAGGCTACCTTGACTGAGCCTCAAAGGAGAAACTAGTCTAGGCACTTGAGAAAGCACTTACCGGCTTGACTCTGGGCCATGGGGCTTTGGCCAAGGCACACCGGCCGGCTTTCCTCCTCAGAAGGAGCGTCTCTATTCACAATTCAGGAAAGGAAACCACTTGCATCCAGTAGACGGTCTCTCGGGATCCCAGCTGTCCAACGCGGTTACAGGCTGAATGAGGAGACATCACGGAGCATAGGAAGGTAGTTCTTAGCACCAAAGTCAGTCATCTTTGCTCTTGGGAGTGATTCATGTGAAATCACACCAGGCAGCTAGGTTGAAAACTTCTCATTCACTCACTGTAGGATTCCCAGGAGGTGTGTCAGAATAATTCATGGATAGCAACCAAGTACTATAAATAAATAAATTCTAAGTGTCAATTAAAAAGGTCAAATATCCAGCTTTATCATAGCCAACCAACCCAGCTAAAAACATACACCTATTGAAAGCAACTTCATAGCAAAATATCTTAATGACTTGTATTCATTACAATAAACTTCTTCAAATCATCCACTAAAATCCTAGCAAAATCATGTTGGAAAGGCATTTTTAAATTCTAAATGGTTCGTCTCCCAATTTGCCTCACATATAAGAGTTAAGCACAAAATCATGAGCTACGACAATATTTTATGAGAAATTATGTCTGACAGACACTTGCCAAGTCCGTAATCAGTGCGATTCTAAACGCGTATCGTCTTTTCATTCATGGAGTCCTCACGAACATCAGACCAAGTTGGCCAACAAAAGACCAAAACTAAGCAAGAGAATTTAGACAAACCTACTTTTATTGGAAGTACTCTGTTTGCTCATGAAAGTAATGTACAAGGGGCTGGAGAGATGGCTCAGAGGTTAAGAGCACTGACTGCTCTTCCAGAGGTCCTGAGTTCAATTCCCAGCAACCACATGGTGGCTCACAACCATCTGTAATGAGATCTGGTACCCTCTTCTGGCAGGCAGACATAGAAGAAATGTTGTATACATAATAAATAAATAAATCTTTTAAAAAAAAGAAAGTAATGTACAAGAATATTTACTCCAGAACTATTCCTAAAAGGAAAAAAAAACAACTACTCAAATATGTACCAACAGCATAATGGAAAAACTTATGATTATAATCTTTCAGCAACAATGATAAATGATCTCAAATGACACATGATGCAAAAATATTTCAAATATAGTGTGGAATAAAAGGACCAGAATTAGTTTGTTTCCTACTATCTATTTCAAATCATATAAAGTGAAACATCAGTCTTTCGTGGTGTAAATCTAAACTATGCTTATTGCAGGAAGCAGAAGAGATGATTCTGATTAAAGGTTAATATAGGAAGAGTCTCTGAGTGGTTATGAGTCTTCGTGTACTTCCTGGGTCCTAGTGGTGTGGATTTATTTACTTTGAGAGTCTGAGCGCATGAGAAATAAATCTGTGTGTGTTCACATGCCTGTGCACGTGCACTCAAGCAGTGATTAAATGCTCACAAACAACATACACTTTCTCTGTGAATTGCACAAGAGTGAAAAGATCATTTTCAAAACAGTTACTATATTCTGATAATTCTGAGGGGAAAAAATGCATTCGCAATAAGGTTGAGATAAAACGAAGAAAAGAAATGCCAGAGAAAGCCAGCAGAGAGAGTGGTGGGTGAAAGAGCTTTCTTATGAAATGAGTGTTCTTCTCCTTGAGAATATAAAAAAGAAGGCGTATAGAAAAAATATAAACTAAATTGTTTATGGAACACTGAAGATCACCAATATTAAACATATAAATAATCAGTCTAATTCACTCAAAAAATAGAGTAAAGAATGAAAATCATGGGATCCTCACAATATATGCAGATATGGTGATTGATAAAATTAATTACAAATAATAAAAGCACTTTAAAAGCTAGGAACACGAGAAAATTATCTCACCATAAGCAACACCACATACAAAAATCCCCCGGCTAGCATCTTACTCAGCAATGACACTGACAGCTTTTTATATTCAACCAGAAGCAAGGCACAAATGTGCACTGCTTCCACTTCCATTCAAAATAACACCGGCATCCTGAATGGAGCAATAAGGCAAGAAAACAAATAAGAAACATCCAAATTAGAACGGAAGAAGGTGAGGTGATCTTTTAGCATGATTAAGGATGATGTGCCCTTCTATAGAGAGAAAATTACCATCCTAAAAAAGAACCCATCATCCTCAAGTTAGTTTGTTAGTTGAGTTAGTCAGTTGAGGCTAGAGCTGTCTGCAAGACTTGATTGAGGAACTGGCCAGATCAGATTGGCCTAGGAGCATGTTTTGGGGGGGTTGTTTTAATTGCCTTATCTGAAGTAGCGGGGACCAACCCAATGTGGGTTAACACCATTTGTTACGGTTTTGTCTCTTTAAGAGGCAAGCCACGCCCACTTCCAGCGGCCCCTCCCTCGCTCCACCATCTTAGATCTCTTACTGTCCTTTCTTGGGGCCCCCGCATCTTCTCGTTTCCCCTCTTCTCTATTTCTTTCCCCTCTTCTCTCTCTCTCTCTCTCTCTCTCTCTCTCTCTCTCTCTCTCTCTCCCTCCTCCTTTCCCCCTCCATAACCCCCTGAATAAATATTTAACCTCACTCTACATGTTGTGTCTATCCATGTCTCTGTCTCCTGCCTGCCCACCATGTGTCTCCCTGCCCAGGATCAGCAACTGCTCTGGGGATCTTGCAGGGACTCACAGCCAGTCTCTGTCTAGGACTGGCTGCTCCCAGAGTCCGCTGCCTGCTGTCACATGGTCCGCTGGGGATCTTAAATCATAAAACCATTCCCTGGGCAAGTGGTCCTAGGCTGCATCAGCAAGCAGCAAAACAACGGAGTTCCTCTATGCAAGATACTATTTGAATTCCCATCCTGACTTCCCTTAGTGATGGGCTGTGACCTAGAAGTATAAGACAAATAAATCCTTCCCTCCCCTGAGCTGCTTTTTAAAGGTCATCGTGTTTGTTTGTATAGTCGCAGAATGAAACTAGAAATAGAAGTGGTTTTTTTTTTTAATCAGTAAAGTTTCAGGAAATAAGAGCACACGGCAATCACCTGTGTTGTTATCACTGCTAGTGAACAACTCTTAAAAGAAGCGAGGGAAATAATCCCATGTACATCTGCATGTAAGATGTACTTATAAGAAAGACTTATAAAGAATCTTAACTAAGGATTCATTTTTTTTTTCTTGGTTTTGGTTTGGATTATTTCAGACTGGGTTTCACTATGTAACCCTGACTGTCCTGGAACTCTGTAGACCAGGCTGGCCTCAAACCCAGAGATCCACCTGCCTCTGCCTCCCAAGTTCTGGGATTAAACACATATATCACCATGCCCGGCAAAGATGCATTTTTTTTTAACTCCAGAAATTAGGAGTGAGGTCTGAGTGAAGAAAATTAAATGAGCACAAATATATAGGAAGACATTTTTGTTTGTGGATTTAAAGAACTAACATTTTTATAATATTAATACAGCCTAAAATGATACAGAGTTTAAATTCTCATCAAAATATCAAAAAAAAAACCTCACAATTTGTATGAAACCACAAAGGACCCCAAACGGCTGAACTAATTTAAGAACAAAGTTGAAGACTTTATACTTTCTGATCGCAAAACATTACAAAACTACAAAAAAAATATATAATGGCATATCATTGACACCGATAAATAAAACTGTGAGAATATGGGTGGTTCTTCTATTACAATGGTACATCACTGACCTAGATAAATAAATCTGTGAGTGTATGGTTGATTCTTCTTTGAAAAATATGCCAGGAATACAATAAGTATCTTCAACAAAGGATGCTAGAAAAGCTCAATTTCATATAATACCAAATGCAACAGAAACAAATATGACCTTTATCTTTATACCATAAACCACAACCACACACAACTAAAATTGTATTAGAAATTTAAACCTGGAAGGAACCCTCATTAGACATTAAATCTCAATCTAAAGAACGCTGAACAATAAATGTGCATAGGTGCCCATTCCTGTGTGTGTTGGTGTGTGCTTGTGGGGGTAGGAAGGTGGATTCATTTGGGTTTTTGTGCAAGTATGGGTGCTGATAAGTATTCACCCGTAAATGCTTCTGTGTGTACAGGCCAGAGGTCAACATTCCCTATGATTCCTCAGGAGCCATCCACTCTGTTTTTTGAAACAAGATTTCTTACTTGCCTGGAAGCTGCTTTAGACTAAAGTCTTTGCAGAAACTCACAGGGATCCACCTTTCTCTGGCTCCTCAGCTCTGACAGAGCAAGTGTTCACCAACAGGCCTGACATTTGTGTGGGTCCTAGGATTGAAATCAAATCACCATGCGTGTATGGCAAGCCCTTTACGATTTCGCCAACCCAAGAAGGAAATTTCCATGATTTATAAACTATGTCATCTATGACATTTTTGTTATAGCAGCCTAAATTGGCTAAAATAGGTCTTTTAATTAACGTTTAACTGGGTTTTCTGTGTTTTGTCTAGTGGCACCAGCAAGAGTCCTGTGAAAACAAGCTGGTCTGTAATGAAGGCATACCGCGAGGGGACTGAAGATCTGGTTTAAGGATATGATTATCAGCTGAGACAGAGGGCAGGTCTAAATATCATTGTGCCTATCCAAAAATGTCCCCACAGCCCCTAACAAGAATATTAAATAGAGAAAAGTCTATGATTAAAGAGTGAGTAAAATCAGGTATGAGCCAAGCTTAGTGTGTCCACGTCATTTCAGGACATGGGAAGTGTGAGCGCCGATGCCAACAACTTTAGCCGTCAGAACAGTGAACTAGAACCACTGAACGAGTAGCAGCAGCGAAACGAAAAGGATAGCTGATTTCCCCAGCCCTCGACGTGGGACGCCAGCAATGCCCCACATCGGCACTGAAGCACAATTCAGCAAAGTCCACGATGGAGCCAAACCAGAGAGCACAAAAGTGCAAGCTTCTTCTACGGGCGCCCACCGCAGAGTCTGAAGTGAACATGCCTGAAACCGTGATTTATTGTTTTAAAGACAGGAAACACTGCTAGTCTGCGCCGGCTGATTGGAGGATTCTCACCTGGATAAAGGGAAAGGAACGGGGAAAATGCTTTCTACTTGTGACTTAACTGGAGACTCAGCAGAGCTAGTAGATACTGTTAACTACAGATACTGATACATCGACAGCATACAGCAAAATAAACAGATTTCCAGTATCCTGGGTTTTCTTGTCAACGTTTTACCAAAGCCCAGCAAGACGTTTTCAGGTGGGAGGAAGCACACAGAAGCATCAGCCCTGGGGGCAGAAATGCGGGTGCTCATTATACCAAGCACATGTGTCATAGTATGCTGTTAGCGTCTTCACCTGCATCCTCGCTGCCTTCGCTGTGTCTCTGGGTAATTTGAGGCCAGAGCCCAGGAAAGATAATCTTTTCAATAGCTCTATTAAACAATATTTTATAGATGATCTGCAAGCAACCATAAGTCAAGATAATTGAAAATAAGACATGAACATTTATGGTTCGTATGGCGATTTGTTAGTGGATAGAAACATTTAAACAGCCACCAGGATCTGAGAGCCTAGGGAGTTCTAAGGAGGCTTCGCTAGACTAGCACACAGAATTGGGTGCCCGAGAATCAGTAAGAACAACTTCATTAGTTTGGTATTGAGAAACCAATCAAATAGAAAATGTGTCATTCATATCTTTGCTATTAGTGACATGTTTTATACTAACAAATAGCCATGATCATTAATGACACTCTGCCGTACTTGTAGATCAGTAACTTGCTCAATCATCATCAGAGAAGCTTCCTCCAGCAGAAGACGCAAACAAATACAAAGATCCTTAGTCAGACATTATGCACAGAGTAAGGTCTTGGGACACTCAGCCTAAACTGAAAGTCTCCATCAAATTCCTCCCCTCAGGGCTCAGTGAACCCCATGGAAGAGGAGGCAGAAAGAATGTAAGAACCAGAGGGGATGGACCCCAAGAAAACACAAACCTCTCTACGTCAACATGATCAGAGCTCATATGTACTCACAGAGAGAGGCAGTAGGCACAGGGCCTGAACAGTTCCTTTTCATATATATTATGGTTCCAGTTTTTATTGGATTCCTGAGCACGGGAACAAGTGGATCTCTGTTTCTTGTGCATCTTCTTGGACTCCTTTTTTTCTTCTGTTTGTTTTGTCCAATTTCAATGTGTTTTGTTCTATCTTACTGTTGTATTCTATTATTTTCCCTTAAAAGCCTGTCTGTTTTCTAACGATAGGCAGAAATGGAGAGGGTCTGGATGTGGGAGAGGGAACTGGAATAGAGTCAGGGGAAACTGTAATCAGGATATATTATATGAGGAAAGATATTTTCAATTAGAGGGGAAAAACACCTGACACTTAGTTTTCTCCAAATTTGCCTGGTAGACAGCTCGCATATGGTGGGAGGTAGCATGTTCTTCCCTATTCCACTTGGAGAGGACTCTGGGAACACAAAGCTAGTCTCTGGACTTTGTTCCTTCTGGTTTTTTCTTTGTGCTGCATCCGGTGTGTGTGTTTTCTGTAAGATAAGCCATACCAGTGAATACAACGCTAATACTGTTGGATCTTGAGAGTGTATCCGTGAGTTGCCAACTTTGGGGTGGTCCTGGCAATTGCTGACATGCTTTACTATAAATAGAACTGCTAGAGATATTTTTGTATGTACCTGTTGGCAATGTATGATAAATTTTCACAGTTATTAGGTCATAGAATATGGAAGTGGTCAGCGTTACTAAATCCTAGCAATTAATTTGGGATTTACAATTCCTATAAGTAATGGAGAAGGGATCCAGGCTTTTTACTTTCTTCCCAACACTTGGCTTAGTCCTTTTAGCCAATTTATTATATGTAATGGCATCTCATTTGGCTTTTAATTTATAATTTGCCAGGCAACTAAATATACTAGAGATCTTTTTCAGAGGTTTATGAATGATTTGACTACCATATACTGTGGCTTTTTTTTTTTTTGCTGGTTTGTCTACTTGTTCACATTTACTTCCAAGTATTTTACTATATTTTGGATAAAAGGGCTTCATTTTATAGTTGATCAGTTTTACAAATGCATCAGTCTCCCACATAGTCTCTGACTGTTAACCAATAAACAGCATTCTTAACTTCAATGTAGCTTAATTGATTATTTTTTTGCTAAAAATATGCATACAATACTTAAATAATATTTACTACCTGCAAATTCATAAAGATATCACCAATGACTTTAAACATTTGATTTCTTTGCTATTTGTTTTAAGAGATATAGTCCATTAGAATATGTCATGAAGTCATATATTTTTTATGGAAGAAAATATATCTCATTAAGATATTATTCACAAAAAACCTCATTGTTTCCTTTTATGGAATCTTGTGAACTTTTCTGACCCATGGATTTATTCTTTATAACAGCTCAATAATTTTATCCTTAATCGTATGTATTCATTCATATTTCTAGTGTTTTCTCCACGGGAAACACTACTGCCTCTTCCAGATGTAGTCTGCCTGTGAGTCTATCTTTAGAAGTTGCGATCTCTTTCCTGTTTAGTCCTTAATATTAATATCTTAACCTTACCTGTTATTTCACAGAATTCACAAGTAAAGCTACGAATCAAGTCATAGAAATCACTATTACAACACATAGGAAACAAAACAGCAACAGCGGGCCTCAGGAAATGAACCCCAGAGCCAATATTGATGGGAAGATGGAAGTTCCTAGATTGTGTATAAAATGGAAGACATAAAGCACTCCGAGAGGTAAGGGAGTCACATCCACCTAGGAATGTATCTGAGACAAGCTGCTGAGTCGTCCGGTCAGCTAATGAGAACACCATCCTCATCCTGTACCCAACTAACACTAATACAATACACACTGATTATTTCATCCTCATCCTATACCTAGCTAATGGTAACACGGTGCCCATTGATTATCCATTCTCATCCTGTACCTACCTAATTGTAACACAGTACCCACTGATTAGCCCATCCTCATCCTCAGCCTACCTAACTATAACACAGTACCTACCCATTGATTAGTCAGTTCTCATCCCTCCTCTATTCCTCTCCTCAGCCTCTGGGAACCACTATTCTGCTCTTATGTGAAAGTCAATACTTTCCGATTCTATACATGTGAGAAGTCGTACTGATCTTTGATGGGGGATACCCTCTGTACGCCATGAATATGTTTGATTGCCATTATTAGAGAAGCTGTTTCAGCCAATGATTTGGTAAAGCCAGGTGGGAAATCTCAACAGAGATATAGAGAGAAAGTAGGTGGAGAAGGAGAAAGACAGCAGTTGCCAGCCAGAACCTTACCAGTAGGCTATAGCCTTTCATGACAATGCACAGATTAATAGAAATGGGTTGATTTGATGTAAGAGTTAGCTAAAAATATGCCTAAGCCATTGGCTAAGCAGTGTTGTAATAGTTTCTGTGTGATTACTTGGGTCTGAGCAGTCGGGAAACATAAGAACAGCCTCCGCCTACAGAACTTTCTATTCCTGGCTTCTTTGACTTAGTCTAATTAACTAGAATGCGGCCAAAACTATAGCTTCCATCCTTTCGTGGCTGAATTTATGCTTCTTTTTTTTTGTAAATATTGCATTTTCCCTTATCCTTTCTTCACTGATGATACTTAGGTTCTTGCTTTTTGTTTTCTTAGCTATTATGAATAATGTTACAATGAACGCGTGTAAAGATATGTAATATGAGACTTTCCTATCAAGTGCTTAAAACTTGTGTTTAGAGGAATGAATTCAAATCTTTTGATCTCCCCCGTTTTGTAAGATGTTTAAGCAAGTGTTTTAATCTCTCCAACCACCACACCTTTGTTTACACAAAAGCCGTACTACACTCTCCAATTAAACTGGCTAGCCCCTTCACCCTTCACTTCCTGTGTGACAATCCTTCAAAAGGAGCCAGTTGAGTAAGACTGTGAAGTAGGACTCCAGCCAATGTGAGAAAGTCCCAGTTGTCACCTAAGTTACAATAAAACCATGTACCCTCCTTGTCTGGGCGTGCCCGCTCTTTCTAGCACACCCTCTTAAGTAAAGTCTTGTGTACTCCAGACACTTCAGCTGGAGTGGCTGTCTCTTTCTTTGTGACCCTAAACTTATTTTTAACACATGGGAATGTGGAGCCTCTTCAACACACTGATTTCCCTTCCTTTGGCTATCTCCCCATTTAATAGCTCAGACATGAGTTCTACCATTAATTTTCAAGGAACCTCTGTACTATTTTTCCATAATGTTTGCATTAATTCACACGACCACCAGTAGTGTGCAATGTTTCACTTTCTCCACACCTTCAGCATGTGTTATTGCTCGTTTTTCCGTTATTAGCCATTCCTACTGGGGTTGCATGGTGCCTCCTGGTTCTTGCGTTTCCTTAAAGGCCTGTGATGTTGGCCATTTTTTTTTTCCTGTGCCCATCGTCCTTTGCAATGTTTTCTTTTGAGAAATATCTGCTTAAGTCTTTTGCTCACTTTTTAATCCAGTAACTTTTGTTTGATTGTTTTGGCACTGAGTTTTTTGGAGTTCCTTAAGCTACTCTTTTTGAAAATACTTATTCTTTTTTTTTAAGTAAATTTTATTAAATTATAAAAGTTTCCATTTCCGCCCCTCTTCCCAACACCCTCCCACTCCCCCCACTCCCTCTCCTCCTCCCTCTTCGTCCCTTAG